TATATATATATATAATTACTAGCAACAAATTTAATAAACTCTTCAAGTTTTTCCTCCGTTTTCCAGTACTTTTGCATTAAGTATATAGATGTTTTATTTATTTTATTATATAACATCTACTATTAAGAAATCATAATGTCACATTAAATGATATTCAAATCTATTTTCTTTTCAGCTATTTATTTAAAATTATATTTATTTATTTTTTTAACTCATTAAGCAATTTTTTTTTTTTTTTTATGGTATGAGTATGACCAAACCTTTTAACATTTCGTACACAATTACCATAATTACAATTTCGATACTGTTTTTGTGCGGGGTATTGAACGAACGAATGGCTACAGGGGTAAACACTTGAAAAATTTGTATGCACGTAGAAGAGACGAACCGGACGCATCCGAGACTGGTCACTCGCCGGACAGATAGGAGTAAACGAGCGAAATCTAACCTAATCATTATCCAAATCAGTCGTACTACGCGCATTAAATGCGGAGATCCACCAAAATCTCCCATCTGACGGCGAGGGGAGGGCCAAGGCACGTGTCATAATCAGGACGGGCCGATTAATATAGAGATTAGATTGTGAAGTACACTAGCATTCAATTTAGAATGACTAATATCTTAGAATATCTTACAAATGAAATGTAAAAAATCCTAAGAGGGAAATGTAAAAGGTCCCTAAACTTCCTATATAAGGGGGGAGAGGACAACATTAAATGCAATGAGTAAATGCTTTCATTAATTACTCTACAAGTCACGGATAGCTAAAACATTCGAACCTAAAAGTTATACCGAATCACACACATAACTCTACTCGTGCAGACCGAACAGAGTACACATCACAGTGTACAGTTCGAATACATTGTTGGTCATTTTCAGACATCAACAATTGGCGCTAGAAGGAGGGCTATTCCAGCATGTCAAAGACAACGTCATCGTCGTCAAGTCAAAGTCGCCGCCGTGACACACCGGAAGAAAAAGAAAACCGGCGCAACAACCGAACTACGAAAACGGACTACTCAGCCTTTTTCAAGGACCCGAACTTTGTCAAAGGAATATCAAACCTCATAACACAGATCCGGCCCTCAACATCTCAAGCACCCAAGACTCTGGCCAAGAAAGACCTTACCAACACTCTCAAAGGCAAAGGGCCGGACGTACATGAAGAAACCTCGCAATCGCACGGCAACACCATCGAGAGTACGAAGGAGAAATCTACCACCGGAACAGAAAATGAACAGACGGACGAAAGTCGCTCGGTCACGGACACTCGCACCCGCAACACTACCCAGTCGGTCTTCAAACGACTGGGCAAGAATGTGGCCGATGACGAATTGAGGAAGACATTGCTCAGAAAACGAACGACCCAAAACCACGAATTCTTGAACTTGCTGATGGTTTCGGGAACTTGTGTGATTAGATCCTTAAACCGAGCATCCCGAACGGACACTGAGAGAAAGGTGAGAATGAGAGTAGGTGATAGAAGAGAGAAGGAAAAGTCTCACATAAATCTCACAAATTTGGTGAGATTTTTCACAAGTATTTTTTCTTCATACTCCAAGAATCCTTTACTTTTAAAAGTCTCATAAAATCCTCATAACTTGAATAACCGACAACTCTTAGAGACTATTGAAAAGTTTCAATTGAATACCCCTAAATTCCAAAAGTATTAAAAAGTCTCTAAGAGCAGCTACAATGTTTTGATTTCAACCACAAAATATTATATGCCACTAGTCTACAAAAAAAAAAATATCCTCCAATGCAAATAAAAGTAGACTGGGTCCTGCTGATGTGATAGCTAGAAAAAGAGACTCAGTCTACCCTCTTAAGTCTATTTTAGACCAAAGTAGTGACCTAATCTCTTTGCATTAGAGTAGATTTTTATTAATTTTACATAATTTTATCTATGACATCCAAAACTTGAGTTTATTTACATGTCACATTGGACAAGACTAGACTCACTACATTGTAGATGCTTTATGAGTTCTAATTGAATACACCCGTTTAGACTTCTAAACAGAGAACGTCTCCTGCCTCTTAGTAGGTGGTTTTGCAAGAAGCGGACGTGAAATCACGGCTTATTTGGTTTTGAAGCACTCACGTCTTTTGATTAGTTGAATTTCTACTGTTTAGAATTGATAATAATGTATACGTGGAACTGTGGAAGAAAGATATATAACTGATGAACTCTATTGTTTTCTTACACGTACGGCCACAACCAACCAACCAACAACAAGATACTCTAATTTAAATCTTGAATTGTTTTCGGTTAATCGTACTTAGAATCATATAAAATAGTCAACTGTCCAAATTAAATGTAAAATAATAGTTTCACACGAAGGAAGAAATAAAAATGGTCCACAAGTTCGCTCTGCCTGAAATGGCTATAACTTGTCAGAATGTTCTGTTGTGTAAAGTAAGAACGAAAAGAAAAAAAAAAAAAAA